TCACTCATGTCAGTCTAACTTTGGCTTTGCTCGGGATCGCTGTGAATGTGCTCACCCTGGTTGTGCTAAGACGAACCTCGACACGCGGGGCCACAAACTTGCTCCTGGTCGCCTTGGCCACGGAGGATATATTCATCATCATTTTCTATGGACTATTCTATGTGACCAATCATTACTACGAGAACTATCGGATTGCATTCCTCGGATTTGTGCGGCATATTGACAGTCCGTTGTACTTTTTGCTCAGCTGGATCAAAGTGGCCGAGATTTACANTCAGTTTGCAACGTTATTTGGCCATTCGTTGGCCTTTGCACGCGGCCAGTTTGTGCTCGGTCGGAAGGACTAAACGTATTCTGGTCGGAGTGATTGTGTCTGCGGCGCTACTCAAACTGCCCAACTTGATTTTGGGTTATAAGATCCTGGTTCCGAGAAAGAACTGTGAAGGATTTGAACTGAAGGATGTGTTCGGCGAGGAACCGTGGTACGGGACATTTCAACTGATCCAGGTACATGCGTTGGATCAGCTAAGCGGTTTCATCATCCCCCTCAGCATTCTGATCGTGCTGAATATCGGGCTCATTATTCGAGTACGCAAAGCCACACGCAAACGGATCCGAGACGATCAGCTTGGTGTCCGGGCGGTCCAAAACCGTGGTACCGCTAAATCATCCTCAGCATGGCGTTCGTCCAAACATTCTTATTCCAAAGAAGGGCTGACGGTTACACAGGAGGATGACCCTCACAAAGAAGTAAATAGCACAAGTGGGACAAAACTATGCGATTCGCAATCCAATTGGTCGGAGGATCATAACAGCACAATTCGATGCGCATCCCAACCAAGCGGAGTTGGTGGCGGTGGCGGTGGTGGGAGTGGTGATGGAAGTCGTGGCGGTTACATCGTGCCCATGACCGCTGTAAATGCAGCTAACCTACAAAGTCGTAGTGTTACTCTGACCTTGATCGGGGTCGTTTCCACGTTTATTGTATTCGAGACCCCGACAACGGTGTGCATTTGCTACGAGATTTGGCAATCGATCGCCCGACAGAATGAAAACAATGCAAATGCGCACGACTCAACAGATGCGACAGAATCCGATTTCTACCGGTACGCTTATCCCATCGCGCTGGTTTCAGTGATGATTGGTTGTGCAAGCAATTTCTTTGTGTACATGCTAGTCGGTCGAAAGTTTCGTCGTTTGTGCTTCCGTGTGCTTCGGGAATGTGTGTTTATGTGCGCGTGGCATCGACGAAAAACGCGATGGGACAGCAAGCGTCCGATTAGACGAAAACATCTCACCCGATCACAAGCTCATTATTCAATGACCACAATTGAAAAATTGCCAAGTACAACACTGCCCCCGGAGAGATGATACATCTCCAATCGTTGTTGGACTCAGAAACAGGACCGGGAGTGCCATTCCTACAACAGGAGCGTGTGAGTTACACATAGGCACCAACATCCTTTCCGCGTGATCAGTTTCATCACTCATTAGGCCCGTGCTGATAAATATGGCAACAATTATCGACAAACAAATCTTGAACACAGGCCAAGAAGAACGCAAACACACAGATTCCCGTTTGTTGTCGTATTCAATACACGGTGAGCCAGTAAAACCGTATCTCACAGAATTGGAACTCTGAACTACGTACACCATTGCCCACTTTCTCTTTCTCACCTCCTCCTCTCCAATTTGCGTTTGTTTTTTTTTTACTTATTGATGTACGTCATCAACAGACCAGATTCACACCGGTGTGAATCACAACCCTCAGACAGCCAGAACTATGTATGAGACATATATAAGCTGATTTGTCAATGTGAATTCTCTGATTTCTCGATTTCCCATTATAGGTCAAACGAGGAAGTCAAAGTTTTATGGGAAATACGGGCAGTTGCTTTCGTAGTCCCAATAGGGTTGTTCGCACAACGGGATCGACGGTTCATAGAAAAATATGAAATGTCATAAATTAACTTATCTTTGTTTTGTGTACACCCCGGTACAGATGTCGAATAGTTTAAGACTTAACAATATTTTATCCCGTTTGTGTGAGCAAAAAATCAATGTGGAGTGGTAGAGAATTCCAAATACTGTGCACACTTTGAGAGCAAATGAATGACACCGGCATTCTAGTCGGCATTTTTGGAGTACTAATTTGAACGAGTGCCCCGCATGTGAGTGTTGGGCGATAAGGCAAAGAGTGAACGACATAGGTGTTCTGGGTTCTGGGTGCATTATTTAATACACTAAGATCAAGTCCCCTCGAATGCGGCGATACTGTGTGGAGTACAGACGCTGTGATTCCGGTCTTTCCGAATAACTCTTGGGATGCAGTCCCTTGACCATTCTCTATGGAAGTTCCAGAATCTTCCGATTGCGTTGCAGCCATGGCTTCCATGTTTGAATTGAATACGGAAGTTGTTGATCTCCCAGAAAAGACGGAAACCGAGTTTCGTGGAGAAGGGATACAACCGTAAAATTTTGATGCATTCAATTCCATGTCATTTTCGATCGACCATTAATAGGCAGCATTAAGTGTTCTCTGAAGTGATATCGAGTCCTCTGGTTTTGTCCCCGTTTTCCATATTTTTGCACCGTCTGCAAACATTGTTATTTGTGGCCCCAGAATGTCCGTTAGGTCGTTTATAAAAACAAGGAAAATTTGAG